TCAACCATCTTCATAGAAGCTTTATTCATAATAGCCAGAATCTGGAAATAACCCAGATGTCCTCCAGCTGAGGAGTGGGTGCAGAAATTGTGGTACATTTACACAATGGAATTTCACTTAGCAATTAAAAACAAGGAAATCATGAAATTTGCGGGCAAATGGTGGGAAATAGAAAAGATCATCCTGAGTGAGGTGTCCCAGAAGCAGAAAAACACACATGGTATATACTTACTTATAAGTGGATATTAGACATATAATATAGGATAAACATACTAAAATTTGTACACCTAAAGAAGGTAAGCAAGAAGGACCCTGAGTAAGATAATCAATCCTCACTCAGAAAGACAAATGGGACAGACATCGGAAGAGGGAAAAAACAGGAAACAGGACAAGAGCCTACCACAGAGGGCCTCTGAAAGACTCTACCCAGCAATGTATCAAAGCAGATGCTGAGAATCATAGCCAAACTTTGGGCAGAGTGCAGGGAATCTTATGAAAGAAGAGGGAGATAGAAAGACCTGGAGGGGATAGGAGCTCCACAAGGAGAACAAAAGAACCAGAAAATCTGGGCACAGGGGTCTTTTCTGAGACTAATACTCCAACCAAGGACCATGCATAAAGATAACCTAGAACCCCTGCACAGATGTAGCCCATGGCAGCTACATGGGCTCAGTGTCCAAGTGGGTTCCCTAGTAATGGGAGTAGGGGCTGTCTCTGACATGAATTCAGTGGCTACTCTTTGATCACCTTCCCTTGAAGGGGAATCAGCTTTACCAGGCCACAGAGGAAGACAATGCAGCCAATTCTGATAAGCTAGGGTCAGAGGAAAGGGGAGGAGGACCTCCCATACCAGTGGACTTGGGGAGGGGCATGGGAGGAAATGAGAGAGGGAGAGTGGGATTGGGAGAGACAAGGGAGGGAACTACAGCTGTGATACAAAGTGAATAAACTGTAATTAATATGTTAAAAACAAACAAAAAAACCAAATCTTTGGCTATATATTAATCATTTCCAATGTAGCCTGTAAATTTACATTAAATTGTCTTAAAAATTCCACACACAATGTATAAACAAATGCATGGAATACTGAAAGCATCTTTGCATGTATCTCCCAAGTGTTTTTTACCACCTTCTTCTTCTCAGATGGTATATGCTTTCCAATAGTCAGTCTTTGTGATGCACCAACCAGCACTCAGAACTTCTCTACAGTTGTCCAAAGAGTGTTCTTACACAAAAGCATGAGTTAGCAAGCTAAACATGCACAAGGATTTTATAAAGGAAGCTTGAACCTGTCTCTGTTAGCCCCCCAAGTCTTTTTGATTGTTTTGCTTTAAGTTCATTTTAGTATTCTAAACCAGGGATCAGAAAATTCTTTATAGAGCTAATAGTAGAGAATATATGTTTTACGAACTGTGATGCTTTTATTGCAGCTACTCATCTCTACCATTATAGAAAATACAGCCACAGAAAGTACATAAGCAAATGTTCATGATTATTTCAGTAAGACTTTATTAACTAAAATGGGTGATGGCCGGATATAGCCATGGGCCATATTTTATGACCGGACTCCAAAGCTCTCAGCTGTTTACTCTGCCCTCTTAGTGCAGTGTCATTGTGACTGATGTCTAATGTCCAAGTTCTTCAAGTTAGCCCCAGGAACACTGAAGGCTCTCAGCTTAAGGGGACAGACACTTCTTCCTCAAAAGGCATTTTAGTTCTGTAATTTGCTGCTTAATACATACCCCATGTGAGTTTGTACCCTTTCACATATGCCACATAGTTCTTTAAAACTATTTATTATACAGCAATAATTTAAGAGAACTCTAGATGAAACATCATCCCCATTTTATATAAATATGTGTACATTAAATGTGTGTGTATATGTATATCTATCCTCATAACCAATAGTAAGTAGCTTTAGATTCCATAGTTGTAATTGATGTTAGGTAGAGAGCTCGGACAAGGCACTGGAAAATAGTACTCAAACCAGCACTTCCCAAACATATTATGCTATAAACTAACTTTATTCCTTTTTGCTTTTCACATCTAGATAGTAGAATAGTAGTATACCTTCCCAAAGCTACCTCGGATGTTCTTTCTTACTCATTATAGCACTGTTCGTCAAATGTTCCCAGGATATTCTTGGGTACTTGTCCAAACATAGGTTCCCTGGTGACAACCTGAGCATCTGTATCAGCATCCCTAGAAGGTTCTAACATTCACTCTTCTCCTAGAGAAGCTGGTGCTGACGGCGCTAAAGTAGAGAACACCCCTTCAGAGCTCCCATGATGGCATGGCATTCCCAAAGCCAGCCTTTATATGTGGGTTTTGGAGAGCAAACTTGGGTCCTCATTCCTTATCACTGAATGAGGTCTCAAACCCTTGAAGTCACTTCATTTCAGTGTCTCCATTTTCTTTTTTGCAAAACGGACAACTAGAGCTAAACAATTACAACATGTTTCATTTGTCCTGCCTGAGAGAGTGAACAATCAGCTCAGCTCAGCCTCTCTGCCTGGCCTGAGAGAGTGAGCAATCAGCTCAGCTCAGCCTCTCTGCCTGGCCTCCTCCACTCTAGTCAGCAAGTTCTGCTTTTGTTGCATTTCATGCTTCCTTTGAAGTTTTATTTCCAAGAAGGATTTGAAAACAACTCAACAAGGAACTCTGTAGGATCTTTCCATTTGCACATCATGTGGCTGGCTTAAGTAGAAATAGAAAGGAGGCTGTTATACAGGAAATTGACCACTAAGTTGACTGGACTGAATTTTGTAACAAGTGGAAAGCATAGAGTTGAGAATATTGGAAACAGGGAATAGGAAGCCATTGAAATCTCACGAGAAGAGGAGTGCAACAGGAAAAGAAGTGAAGTTGGGCCCACAAACTGTTAGTGACTGATCTGAAAATCTCAACTGTTCAGAAGGTTCTAAGAACAAAGGGTGATTTTCCCCCTTGTCAGCCTTCCCTCCTAGGACATTGTACAATATGCAAAACTGTAAGTATAAGACATTTTTTTTTCCACTGCCTCCTCAACCCCACGGGCCTTCAGGAAGACCTGAACTTTAAGCAAAGCCTTTTTATTTTTCAACACCCACAGCTTCCATTCAGCAATCAGAAGTTTTCCACTCTGATCAAAGGGGCTAAATAGAGAAGGCCACGGGAGCAGCCGATTCTCAGCAGCTCTGGGCAAATTGCCACCCACTCCTTGTCCGTACCCAGCAAGACACAAGGCCTTCTCCCCGAGTCAACCAAGTGTACCCCCCAAACACTAGCTTGCTTCACCCTATCTAAGTCAGAAAGACAAATGAGTATGGACACACATGTCTTCCAGTTGAGCCCTTTACTCTCCCACCGCCTCATGGCTTTTGATTTTCTGAACTCAGCAGAAAGGGCCATCTTCTAAGTCTAAGCTGCCTTGAAGAGAAATCTACACAGATCCAGAAAGGAGAATCATACAAACTTGGCTTTGTATACGGCATTTCTCTGAGGCTTCTGCTCTCTCCTAGGGCTCACAGAGATAGACTACAGCCAAAAGGGAAGGGTGCTGTCAATCTCTAGGGAAGTAGCAAATGAGGTTTCTGAAGACCATATCTGCAGACAGCTATAACACAGTGGTAAGTATTTCTAGAGGTCTTCTGAAAGAAAGATCACTCATATCCACAAATGTGAATCCAGCTCTGTGTCCCAGGGAATCTATTTATTATATTAAATTCCAGCCATGGCCCAGAGGGCAACTTGGGCTGTTTAACAGGAATTGCTCAACGGCAGCTGCCAAGACTATTCCCATTCAGGAAGCTCTCTTACATCATCTTGTTTGATCTTCTCAATGACTGTTAGAGAGAGGGGGATTAAAGCAAGGACTGTGGCGACCTATTCAAGGAGCAAAGCTGAGAAGAGGAAAGGCAAGGTGGGACAGAAGGTTTTCAGCCTGTAAGGGAAGATCCCTGTAGGCTTTGTGGCCAGGCTAGTTTGAATTAAGACCAAGTTCTTCCATTAGATTAGCACTGGTAAGTTTTCCTGAGGAAGTTTTCATGCTCCCTGGGCCTTGGTTTTCCTTTCTGCAAAAAAGAAATGTACCTGCCTCTGAGGCTGGGGGATGGGGGCAAGGGGGAAGGGGGAAGTCAGCCACTAGCGCAAGTTCCCAAGACTGGACCTGAGTCCAAATGTTAGGCTTGTGCGATATCTGTGCACAAACACCTCACAAATACCTGGAGTGCCGTTTGCACCTCCACACACCCCAGACAACTCACACAGGTCCCACACCCCTCAGCCTCCCCTTCCTGACCCTCATTAATTTCTCCCCATTTTATGAACTCTATGGCATGCCAGCTTCATCAGCAAGTTTAACAGACCTCAAAATCACAGGGCAAGAGTTTTAGGAGCTTTAGTTCAAAAGAAAATTGTTTCCAAATTCCTGTTTTCTCACAGTATCTTTGAAGCTATCCTCAATTTTTCTGCTGCTACAAGCTTGTCACCAGGTAGGCGAATGTCCACAGTATCTCTTCTTTACCAGTAATGGCTGTGATTGTTGGACAACCCCGCAATCCTTGTACTGCTGGCAAAGGATTGCTGTCTCACCCGGATCCAGCAAAGAGATCATCTGTAGGCTTTTCTGGGCCAGCAGCGTGGAGCATGCAGTGTGCACAGTGCCCACGGGAAGGCGGTCTGTGGCTGAGCTAAAGGAAACAGGAGTGGTTGGTGCACGCACATGCGGAACTGCCTCCTTCCTACCGCCCGCTGACATCAGCCATCATCTCTCGCTACAATTTCTCTACACTCAAATTAATCCCAGGCGGTGAAAATATGAACCTTTCCCCCACCCTTGCAGCCACCCTTCGCCTCACGCCCCCAGAGAAGAGTTTCTCCATCCGGCAACTGGTGAAGGCTTTTTTCCAAATCACATGATCCAGGATGCAGGGGGAAAATCCTTGTTGGAACAGAGCTGGGTGCAGAATCGAGGCAGATGAGGAGAGATAAGGTGTGATGTGGAGCAGACTATATAAAGCATGGAGCCAGGGCTGCAGCAAGCAGGCAGCCGTGGGGAGCCTTCCCCTGACCCAGCCATGCACGTGCCGCCCAGCTCGGTAGCTAGTCCCTGGAGAAGCACAGGTCCCTGGAGAACCGCAAGCCGCAGCTACTTCTGCCTCAGCACCACGGCATTCGTGTGCCTTGTCGTCGCAGTGGCTATCATCCTGGTCCTGGTAGTCCAGAAGAAGGTGAGTAAACTTCGCTGCTTCCCTTTTGTTTTCTTCTTTATTATCTATGTCTCCTGGAGAACAGCTATGCGAGCTAATTAATAGTTTAATTGGGAGCAAAAATAAATAAAACTATGCATATAAAGAATGTAATATCAGACAAAAGGGAGAAAGAAATAGAAGTGAACTTTATATACTCATTTGGAATTTTTAAGAGGAATGTAATTGGACATGAGCTCAAAATTTTCCAGATATACTTGAGCCAAAAGAGCAGAGAGGAGCTGCTGACCTTGAGAAATTACGATTTCAGTTCAGTGGGGCCAGAGCCTCACAGAATGGAGGGAGGCAGCCACAGTCAGCCTTGGTGCATATATGTATCCTCCCTGTAAAGCTTTCAGTCTAATTCTAAGGCTGTGTCCTTAATCCATGCTCTCAGAGTATCTGAGGCCTCTCTGTTGCCAAGAGTTTGTTGTTGCTGTTGGTTTTTTGTTGTTGTTGTTTGTTTTTAGCAAGGAGCTAAGTTTCAAAGAGTGTAGTATTAAAAAAAAGAAGAAGAAAAGTAAAAAGGAAGAGAAGCCAAGGCTCCCCAGAGCTCTGGGTATTTCAAAGTTAAAACCCATAAAAGAAATCGAAAGCTTCCTCACAAGCTTTGAAGACCTCAGGGTGTTGAAAGAGATTGAGCTGAAGGACAGAAAGTAGCAATGTTTTTTTCACTTGTACCGTCTGAGGTACACATACAACATGTAAGGCCAGACTGTCTTGGGAGTTTTACTTCGTTTGAAATAAGGAGTAAGATAGAAGACCTGAAGGAGAAAACCAAAATGTAGTTTAGAAAAGTAGCATTAAGAGAGAACCGTTAAAAAGCACCTAGGGTGTAGGATCAGCTCACAAGACTCACAGGCATGGGGTGAGAGAGAGTCATGGTGATATGGATACTGTATGAATTGTAGCCACATATACAACACCCTGCCCAAGTGTGAATGCATCTATTATTATTTCATAATTCTCACTTGTCGTCATATTATAATCTCCTGGGTTTTCTTGGTTTTCTGTCAGTTGTCTTTGACCACAGGCTCTGCAATTAAATAGATGCTGAGAGAAACTAGGGCCTTCCAAGTGTCATCAAGTACTGAAATTTAAAGGAAGCTTTAGAGCTCCTTCCTCCAGGAGAGTGTAAGGAGGGGTTGTTCACACTTGGCTGTCAGAGCTGGTAGGAATCATCATTTAAGGGGATCATCTGCAACCACTAAGAATGACTCTTTAGACAAACCTCTGTGCACCTTTTCTTCTGTGTACAACCTCCACTTTCTGTCACTGTGATGTGCCAGAACTGTGTTGTTTCGCAGCAATGGCCAGTAAGATAGATGGGAGTGGCCATAAGGAACTCTTCAGATGAAGGATACATGCAGAACTGCTGGATGTGAGGAAGAAACCAAGAAGGGGAAGGATGGTAGCAGAACCAGTTCCAATCAGCTGTTGAAATGATTCCTCCTGTGCAAGCTGATGAACCTTTTCTGCCATGTTTCTGCAGATGCAGAAAACGAAGCACAGATAGGGGACAGGGCATCAAGTCAATCACCCTAAGCAAGGAGTACAGTGGGGGCTGCTTGGTTGTTTTTGGTTGCTCTCTGAGAAAGTTGTTCCCTTGGCTTGCACAGATGGTGACGGAAACTTGAAGAACCAGTTTCCCATTCTTCTCCTCAATGATTTGACCACTGCTGTATCTATTTCTTTGACTGACCTCATTACCTGGGTATGGAAAGCCACTTTTCACAGTCTGTGTCTGCATTTTGGTATGCTGTGATCTCTTAAATGCTGGGAACTTGCTCACAGCTAGGGCTTTCCATTTTTCCATTTTTTTTCCATTTCCATGGCTTTAATAGCCATGATATAAAGAATCTAATGCTTTGCACATATCATTTCTAGTACATTCTCAAGAATTAATTGAGGCAAGAGCTAGGGAAATGTATATTCCCCTGGCTCTGGGTCATCAGGAGAACAGCAGGTAAGAAGAGAGATAGGGACTGTTTCTAACAGGTGAACTTGGCAACTGAACAGGCTCAGGGAGAACCTGTCAAAAAAACAAAAAGAGGGTCCAAGGCGTTCAGCGCACATCTTAGTACCAAACATGGAATGGGCAATGAACACACAGTATCCTCTGCGAATCACGGATACCTGGTGGGGAACTGGGACAATTACATTACTTTTCCATACAGGACCGCCTTGAGATCACCAGTGAAGGAGTGTTTTCCCAGCAGACTGGAGAAAAACATCACTGGAAACCAGAGTGTCTGGTCAGAGTGAGAAATATGAATACTTTTATGGAAGTGAAAGAGGTGAGAAGAGTGACCTCACCTGGACAATGGCAGAGTTTGAGAAAAGAGATGGAGAAAGGGGCAGTTAGCCATGTCAGGAAAATCAGCCAGGATCCTTGGGACTTGGCTAGAAGAACAAATGACTCCAAGTAAATACTCCATAGAAGAGACAAGATGGAAATAAAGGTATCAGTCTCAGTATTTACTAAGCATCTGCTTAGTACAGGACATTGCTGTAGACACTAGGTATATTCTCCTAAGAAAACCATTAGCAAAGCCCCTTTCCATGTATTGTTTATACAGCTTCCTATTGATGTCATTGAATTCTTCTGCGATAACTGTACTTTTCTTCACATTTAAGCCAAAAATATTTAGTATGAAATATATCAAATTGCTTGGGAAACTAACCAACAAATAAGGGGAAAGAAACTAGAAGTTTATCACACCTTGTCTTCCCAGCAACAACCCGTCTTTGCTGAGAGAGGCACCATGAGCAGAGTCCTGTGTGTTCTTAAATAAATCTGAGCATCTGCAAATACATAGCACACAGACATCATGGCTAACTTGACCTCAGTCACTTGGTGCTCTGCCTTGGAGATCCTCTCAGGTTATGTGGAAGTCTGTTTTGTGACACTGTAGAGTCATATCTTATCCTGTTGTGCTGATGCTTCATGATTTGTCTGGACCTTGTAGGGGGCTGTTAAATTTCTCTCTAGGATGTTTCACCCTTTGTGCATGCTTACAAGCAGATATGTATAAATAAAGCCCTAAAAATGGAGATAGAATGTCTATTTTTCACTTGAATAAATGTTGTCTATCAGCCTCCACAGAGATGGTACCACCTTGAGGAAGGAAAGGTCTACCATCAAAGGCATATCTCTTTACATCAAGAAAGAAAGAAAGAAAGAAAGAAAGAAAGAAAGAAAGAAAGAAAG